TTCTCCATTGCTCTCTTCCCAGTGTAGAGAGCCAGTTTGGTCTACTGGTTAAGGCACCAGGGTAGAAAGTGGGAGGTTGTGAGTTCAAGTCCCGCCTTAGCCATGAAAGCCAGCTGGTTGATCTTGGGCCAGTCATTCTCTCTCAGCCCAACTCACCACACAGGGTTGTTGTGGGGAAAATGGGAAGAGGAAGATCTGTTCTCCCGAACTGGTAGTTAAAAAATGGTAAAAAAAGTTTTTTAAAAAGTTCCGCAAGGGTGGCCCAGCTGATTCTCGCATAGCTGATTGTCAGAACTTTTTTTAAACTTTTTAAAGCATTTTTTTTTACTACCAGTTCAGGTGAACCAATAGCATTTTTTACTACCGGTTCAGGTGTACCAGACCGAACCAGAAGCATTTCACCCCTGAGGAAGATGTGCTGGATATGTGTGCTGTCTTGAAATATTTGTAAAAAGTGATAAAAGCAGGATTTAAATTTTAAAAAAAAATCACTTGGGGACTTTATAGTTTTCACAATTGCCTCATGAACAATTCAGAACTTAAAAGCCACAATTACCCTTTCTTTGGCCTTCTGAAATTCTTTTAATCAGTGACATTTGAGCTCAGGGGATTGTTTTAAACAATCCTGGTAACTCAGACTGGATCATTTTAATGCACGTTATCTCTGGGCCAAGGTCATGAAGCAAGACCCCACCCCTCACATTTTCATTAAACAGAGTTTGTATCTCCATCAATCTGTAGGCTGGCTCCTCTGTACCCCTTACAGATTTCCCAGGAGTCCTGGGCTACCATATCAACAGCACATTAATCCCCATCCCAATTCAATTCATAGTTTTTGTTTGCTTCCATGTTCCCTGTTATACCTCGAGGTCATAAATCAAACTTAGCTTATTTTTTTAATAAATGCACTGAACTGTTGAAGCCAGTTTCCACTATTATAAAAGTCTCAAAATACCATGCATCCTTTAACAGGTGGAAAATGTCTTAAGAGAATCTTGGCCTGGAATGTTTTCCTTGCTTCAAGACAAAGTAGTACTCTTATTTATGACTTAGACTAATTTTAAAGCAAGATGACGGTTCCCTGCCTTGAATTATCTTCTTATGATATTACCTCGCCACCATATGGTTTTATGATTTGAAATCCAGACTACTGAACCCATTGACAGCTCTTAAGCTTATGTAACAGATGACTTTCAAACCATGTTTCTGAGGAGCTTTGATTTGGAACAGCCCTTCTCATCTCGTTGCCTTGTTCTAGAAGGCAAGTTTTCCCAAAAAAATCCTGGAACTCCTGAAAATTGTTCAATTTTGCTGCCTTGGATGCTGAGTTGCTGAATTAGCGAATCCACAATGGTCCCAAGTAATTTCCAGGAGAACAGGATGTGACCCTAAAAACATTTATTCATGGCAAATGCTCAAAAGTGACACTTAACAATAAAAAAGGAAAGATCTACTAATATGCAAGGCATATGCTCAATCTATTACTTTTAATCATCAGATAAAGCGACAGATCACTCTGGCTGTATTTGAGAAATCTCCGAAAGAAAACCCTGCTGCAATTCCAGATCAAACCACCCATTAGAGAGTTCTTTAAAAATGAAGATCAGTTTTATATGCACTTCTACATGTTTGAACACCAAATCTGGGGCATGATGAGACCTTACAATTGAAATGGCATTACTTACAGGAGCAGGTAGAGAGTGCTGGTTTATGTGCACTACTCAGGGGTGGGCTGCTGGGGGTTCGCACGAGATCCTTTAGCTAGGATTCTGCCCAGTTCGGCGAATCCCCAAATGCCACTCCTGGCTGGCCATGCCCATCCCGCTATGCCCCTACCCTCTCACACCCTACCCCTACCAGGAATCTCCACGTGGCCCATTCATCATGCCAGGTAAGTGCAGGGTCCACATGGAGGCTTGGGAAGGTGGGGAAATGGGCCTACCGGAGGTTCTGGAAGTCTGGAAACGGACCTGTTTCTGGCCTCCGGAGCCCGGGGGAAGCAGTTTTTGCCCTC